GAGCCAGCGTTTCTGTTTTTTATGGAAAAAATACTCACTGTCAGCTCCTCTTTCCAGTTATGCTTTGATCAATAAAGTTGCTGGCTGCAGGAGCAATGATATAATAATAAAACAAACTATATCTCTATATATTCCACCAAATGTAAAGGCAGGTAAAATCCAACACATCCAATACTAAATTCTAGTAAGTATGGCAGTTCTCAAAACAGTGGCTTTTTAAATACTTAAGCTTTTCATCCATCTCATAATAAATGATATTTAACCACTAATATATATTCAGGATCTCAGGATTATACAACCATTCAACTAAAGAATAGTGAACTTCTTAGGTCACAAAAATCAAGGTAAAAGTATTCAAGTATTCAGAATATTTATTCTGTCTAATATTCAGAATATTAAAAGTATATATTTGCACTAAACCAGCACACCTAGATGCAGATTGTCCTTTTTCAAATGATGTTCTACAGAAATGGGTTTGTTTTCATTCAGCTCTGACAGTCTTCATGTCCTCAACCCAATCTGGGGGTGCTGAACCTCCAGACTGGGGACTATATCCAGATTCCAACAGGGCTTCCCAGATGGCTGCACCCCTTCTGCCTGTTTCCCCCAAGCTTTTTTTTTCAATTTTCCATTCTAAAAGGCTAGAAGCATCATTATTGGGAGTTATTATTTCAAGTTACAGCGGGCAGGTATTTTATTCCCACTTCTTTTGCCTCTGGCCACCTCACTTTTCCTTCCACCCCACCCACTGTTGGAATCCAACCCATAAGATCTCCTTTGAGATGGACCTTGGGCTAAGAGGTTCAGCACCAACTGCTCATGAAATCTGCCTGTTGAGTTCTTATAGGTGATTGTGTAGGCTCATTTCTCTTGCTCATTACGGGCAATTGCAGCAAAATGTGGAAGATTGTGACCAGGTCACTTTGTGTGTCTTCTTGTTTGGTCCACTGTCCAGGTGCTAAGTGCTGCTGGGCAACAGTTCTTAGGGTTAACTCAGAATTAGACCACCTTTCAAATAGAGGATGGTCCCAGATAAAAGAGGACCCATGGCCACCTGAGCCACATAACAGAAGGTAAACTTTTTGTCTGAGGAGCTATCCCCTCCCTATCGGAACCTTTCAACTGTTTTCCATGCACTGTTCTTCTACTCTTACTCTATTTCTCCTTTTTTCCTGCTTGAGAGAGTGACTGAGGAGGCAAGCAAAATAAGCAGATTCTGCAAACACATGGGAAAGGGCAATTGCCCTCTACTGCAGATGCAAGAAGATTTATCACACTCCTCTAATAAATCATCAATTGCCACAGGCTCTTTTCTCCTCCACCCCCTCCCCTGCCAAGGAATATCACCCCTGAGCTCCACAGAGAACCTAAGAAATCATTCCATATCTTCAGGCTGAATGGAGTTGGAGTGCTTTCCCTCTACACCTCACAATCCTGTGTGGAACAGCGAGGTAGCAATGGCCCATGAGAAGTTAATACTGTGGAGTGAAGAGGCAAGAAGGGCGAGAGGTCAAGGGTGACAAAGAAATGTGAGCTTCAAGCACTTGTTAGGAATGTCTGGTCATCTATTTTTGACTAATAGGCCATGTGTACTAAAGTTGCAGATCTGGCTATCTGCTTGACTTTTCAGAAGATGTGTGCTTCAGCTTCTTTAAACCTTCTTTGCTAATTCCTGTCTTTAGCTTCTACTTTGGTGTCTTGCAAAGAAAAATGATTTGCTCCTAAGTATCTTTGATTTTTTGTTTTTACAGGGAAAAATAATCCCTGCAAATTCTGCCAGCAGCAAAGCAATAATCCTGAGTCCTCATATTTCCACAGAGGTGGGATTTTAACAATGGCAGGCAGAAAATATTTGCAAATCTCTTTGTAGCACCTTTTCTAATTTGAAGTTATTGAAAGCCTTTCCATCCTGCCTTTCCTTTTACTAAGTTAGCTGGGAACTCACAGGAGAAGTCCTAGAGGATTTCACACATTGCTCAGGTTAAAGGAGAAATTTCACTGGTAATGTTGGTGGAGATGTTTTCTTCCTGTCCAGCCACATCTGCTGACATTGACCCATGTGCAAAGGAATAATTTATTTGTACGTATAAAGTTCACATGCAAGCAATTGCTCCTGTGTAGACTTTAACTGATGTTTGCCTTGCTTTTCCACCAAATAAAATGGTGCCCAGAGCTTTACCTCTGCAGATAATCATGCTACTAAGTGGACATCCATGGGGGGTGGGGGCAAAGTTTGGTTCCTCTCCTCTTGGCAAAAGGGATGCCCTGTCATGGAGGCAGCACATGCGGGGAAGCTAAAATCTTTTATGAAACTGACCTGTTGTTTTTACTAAAGTTCACTCAGAAGTATGAAGGTAGAAATTACAATTTCCTTCTGTCTTTGTCTTTTTCATCAATGTGTATGGCTTGACTTGCTTATCTGTATTTCTTAGTTTTATTCAATTTCTATAGCAGGTACAGAGCTTTAGGGTGGACAAATCTAATTTCTCTCCTTCTTGTTTAACCTTTTCTTTTTCTAGTCTGGGACTGCAATGGGGGGAGTACAGGGCATAGTAGATCCAGGGAAGGAAGAATTGTCCTAGGACTGCCTAACATTGCCCACCCCTGCTTTAGACCTTGGAGATGAATGCTATCCTAAAAAGACATTTTAAAACTTGAAGTAGAAAACCCCTCCAAAAAAGAGAGAACTGTCTAGAATCCATTTATTCCTTTCTTGCTCTTTATTGGCCTTTGGAGATTCTTTTTCATTCTTTCTTCCTGTCTCATTATTTTTGGTGTTTAGCCTCAATCCATTGTTGCCCAAGTTTAGAAATATTCCAAATGAGTAACTGCAAAAAATGGAAGAGCAGATCACACTCCAAATGTTGCTTTTAAGCTGGAATCTTTATTTGCCCTGCTTGATTGCTGTAGGTGTGGTAATTGGGCCAGCACTCACTCTGTCAAGCAACTGGTTCAGTTCCCTCTATCTGCAACACCAACTGAAGTTGAGCCAGTTATTAGAAACAAGAGTAAAACCTAAAAGCCCATCAGTTTCCATTGCTGAGACAGGGCAGTCCCAGCAACCAAACAAGTTCTCTTCCAGCAGATGATGTCATTGCTTCTGTTCTCCATCTCGTGCTGGAACTGATGTCCTTGTTTCAGCTCTCCAAAAAGTCCTCCAAGGCACTGCTGATGGGGACAGGGGTGTCAAGCAAGTGCCTTTATCTTCCAGTGTGGAACGTTGGAAGATACGCATGTGACAACTGTATCCTGGAGGGAGCAGAAACACAGAAACACAGAAACAGAGCGAGTCAGAAGGGGCCTCCCGGGCCATCTAGTCTGACCTCCGGCACCAGCCAGCTCCGCTCATGACATGTCCACCATGTGCATGTCCAGCCTATCCTTGAACACCTGCACCGATGGGGCCTCAACAACCTCTTGTAGAAGCCCATTCCACACCCTCGGGCTCCTGACTGTCAGGAAGTGCTTCTTGGCATCCAAATGGAAGCTTGGCCCCCTGAGCTTTGCTCCGTTGGAGCGCGTCCTGCCTTCCTCTGCAGGGGAGAACAGGTCTCTACCCATCTCCATGTGACATCCCCTCACATACCTGTATGTCGCCAACAGAATGGGCCTCAGATTAGGTACAAGCCTCCCGGGTTTTCTGCCCATATGCAGATTGCACAACTCATCATCTCCCAGTCCCTCTCTGCTCATTACAGGTCTTTGGGAGATGGCCCAGGAAGTGCTGCAGCTACTATCTACATAGCTCTTTCCCCTACTGCCAATTTCCTGTGAATAAGCTGCCTTTTTCAATAGTGGGGGAAAGCACTTTGTACATGCTTGCTGGTGTTCTTTCTCCTTTCATCATGCATCTGAAATCTGATAGGTTGTTCTTGTTATTATTATTATTATTAATGTTTATGTTTGTTTATACCCCACCTATTACCAAAGATCGGGCCTCTAGGTGGTAAGCTCTGCTTGCATGCAAACATCCAGATTAAAGAAACTGTGTATGACACGTAGGGACTTCATGGGATTTGCAGTGCTGGCTTTCACAGCTTCCATAATTCACCCATGTGCTGAAACATAATGTTGCTATTATAAACAAAAGTGCTCCATATGCTGCGAGAGCCTCATGTAACAGTTGCTTTGGGGACCATAACTCTGAGTTTCCCTGACTCTGGGGCATTGATATTTTTCAAAACAGCACACTGCTTTGCTTCTATTTCTGCATGGATGCTCTGCGGCACCACATCTCCTTTGCTGAGATATCCACATGCATAGATCAGCTTCTGGGCTCTTTCTCAAAAGAGCTTCCTTTTCAATATTTCCAAAAGGGCGGAACATTTGCAGACCATATTCTGATGACGGCATCCTGGAGCTCTCTACACCAGGACCATAAATGAAGTGCACCAAGAAGGTGCGGCCTTTTCAGGCTGCGGTGCTGTGATTAAGAGCCTCACCACCACCACCTTGCATCATAATTACCAACCCGAGCAGCATCTGGCATCTTCTGGCATCCATGGCAGTCTCACTGCTCTGATGACTTTTCTTAGACCCACCCAGGAGGATGCACGATTTCGAAAACAAGTAGAAAATAGAAGATCTATTTGTCCAGACTTTGCATGCTCCTTGACTTGCATGTAGAAAGAATCAACATACCTTAAATAGAAATGCAACATCTCTCACCATAATGGGAAAGACCTAGTGACTTGTATGCCGTCCTGCTCAGTTTCCCAAAGACCTTCAGGGTCTTTGCTCTCCTAGTTTCTTTGGGTCCTTCATATTTACACCAAACTTCGACCCAACAGCCCTTCAAATAGAGGATGCCTTGAAAGAGAGGAATGCTAAACTAGAAAAATAATTAAAGGGGCTTGGGGGGAATGTGTCCTAACTTACAGAGGACAATCCCCTATTTGAAAAGCAATTTAGATTACAGATTATATATATCAATTGGCATGAGCCAGTTTTACATTTCCCTCTTTTGTCCTCTCTTCTTTTAGCATGTGTGAATGCAAGCACAACATAGGGAACTGGCACGTAAGCTGGTGAGTTCCAGATTCCTGACCATTGCTCTGTGCCTATGGATTTCCATGGGGACCACACAGGAGAATGTCCTCTTTTGGCAGCATGGCTTGTGTCCTTGAATGTTAGACCAAGGTATGTCCTAATTTTATTTTACTCGTGATTTTACCAACAAAACTCTCAATATGCTTTGGAGGACAGAGAAAGGTCAAGTCAGTTGCCAGAATATGTTAACTTCCAAAAAAGTGATAGGCTGCCCTCACGGTCTGATGGATGGACCTGCTGGGAGTCAACCCAAAAGTTACGTTATGTAAAGTGACTCACGCGTGGTCTTCTTTCCCTGTCACACATACCCAGCCACAGATGCTGGGTTTTATTATCTTAATAAAGCCTCTGAGAGCAGTAGGGCATCTATTTATTTTATTTGCCGGGAAAACAGATGTATTATTTCATGAAAATGTTTAAGGAGTGAACTGCATAGAAACAATATAGATGCTGCTATAAATGGTGACATCCTGACAGACTTCTGCCAGTGTTTCTCATCTTGAGCTCTTGTGCAGAAAAGCCATTTCACAGGTATTTGGGCACAGTCACATCAGCCCCGCCCTGCTGCACAGAAGCCTCTGCACTCAAATCTTACCTGTATCTTATGCCCTGAAAGAGACACGGCAACATTTTCCACCATATCCCAAATCCTGATCTTTTTCTAGATGGCAGTTTTAGGATCTCCAGATAAAGCACTAGGGAAGGGGAGGGAAGGAGGCTGGGTATTGCTAGGAATTGGCTGCAGCCTCCAGCCCTCCCAGCATGCCCTTTTTTCTCCCCACCAAGGTGCATTTGTGCCCTTGTGGAGACAGCTGGTGTGGTTCTTTCTGTGTTGGCTGTGAGGGGTGGGAGTGAGGTCTCAGCCATCACAGCCTCCGATTGAGATCACCAGATCCTATGGCTTCCCCCACACAACAGCAGGAGGCCATAGGATCCTGCTCTAAATGTAGTAGGGTTTTGATACTTGTATAACATCACATGGTCTTGGAGGATCCAATCCAGTGATGGCCACTCAGCTGGCATGTTCCACCCATCATGGGCAGATGTCACAACAACTGGTACTTTGATGGGGGCTGTAAGGCCAAGTGGGTCAGAGGCAGGGGCATAAGAGGAAGCTAGCCGGGTTTAAGAGTGGATGAGAGGACCAGAGTGGCCAGAGAGGCAAGTGCATGGTCAAAGCCATGCAGTGGTCAAGATTGAAGAGACTCCCTGGGGCAGCAGAAGGACTTCCCATGCCAGAGAGTCAGACTGAGGAACTGGCTCTGGGGTCAGCGCTTCAGGGCTTGTGTGTTGGGACTGGCCTTGGGGTCAGCTGCACCCTTGGAGGCCTCAGCTCGGTCTATCTGATGTTGCAATAAGGCAACAGTGCTGGTGGCACACCAGGTCAGGGGCCAACCCCTGACTGCTGGGAGCTTCAATCTCAGATTGCTTTGGAGACTTACAGCCTGGAACCGGTCAGGGGGGCCTTTCATGTGGAGGTGCCGAAGAGACAGGATAGGACAGACAGAAAGGATCCATGGGAATTCCATAACAGAGACTCAGGTCATTTGACAGATGCTGGGAGCAGGATAGAAACATTATAAATCAATATATAATTCTAGTAAGCACAAATAGCTTGCATCTGAGGTCATTAATCCCCTGCTGATGTTTTTCTGCATTTATCCTCCATGGCTGGTTAATGAACTATTTTCTCCACACACTGCTTCCCAGTGATCCGCAGAACCTTCCTTCAGTGTTGCCTCCTTCACAGAAGCAAGCTCATCGTGACTGCAGAGTGGTGGCAAAATTCCCTTGCTTGTCCGGGCAGCTTGCTTGCATTGCTGAGTTAATTGCTGGAAGACACAGGCCAAAAAAGTCATGGGGTAACAAGAGCACTATTGTATTGTGCCAAGTGAAGAGATACTCATCAGTAGACTTTTGTTTAATTAATAGCACACATGCAACTTGAATGGCTTTTGTGCCTACTAGAGGCAGGATTCAGGGACGTGTCCACCTGCCTGGGTAGGGCTTGGAAAGAAGGGGTTTAGAAGTTGGAATGTAGCCTAAATGGGTGGCAGAATTTTTTGCAGTTGACCAAAGGTGTGTTGGATGCTTTGGGCTGGGGGAAGTGATGCAACTGTAAAGGCCAGCAGTATCTTTTGGGAAGGGCAGTAGCTTAGTGATAAAGTCCATGCTTTGCACACAGAACATCTCAGGTTCAACTCCTGGAGTCTCCAGGTAGGGCTAAGAAAGCATCCCTCCCAAATCCCTGGAGAGCCACTGCCAGCTCGTGTACCCAATATGGGACTGGCTGAACCAGTGGCCTGATTCAGCATAAGACAGTGTCCTTTGTCCCTGTGTGTTTTTGTTAAACAAACAAGAAAAAAAATATAAGCCTTCCATAAAGGGAAACACCTAAAGTGGTTTCATGCTGGAGAACCCCAGAGTTCTGCAGTAAGGAGACCCTCTGAAGTGAGTGAGACTTACATTAATTGCAACTAACTTAAATCCAATGGAACTACTCCAATTTCAATGAAACTGAAAGCTCAATCCAGACAACTACTCCAATTTCAATAAACTGAAGCTCAATCCAGACAAGACGGAGGTCCTGTTGGTTGGCAGATCGGGCTTCGGAGAGGGTGAATTGAACCTAGTCCTGAATGGGGTTGCACTCCCTCTTAGGGACAAGGTCCGCAGCCTGGGAGTGCTCCTCAACCCGGAGCTTTCACTGGAAGCTCAGGTGACAGCAGTGGCGAGGAGCGCTTTCCTCCAGCTTCGGCTGATTCATCAGCTGCGCCCCTACCTGGAGTACGACTGCCTCGCGACAGTGACACATGCGCTGGTGACTTCCCGTCTTGACTTCTGTAACACGCTCTACATGGGGCTACCCTTGAAGACAGTCCGGATACTTGAATTGGTTCAAAATAGAGCTGCCAGGCTGCTGACGGGGACTGGGCGTTATGGTCACATGACTCCAGTTCTCTGTCAGCTTCACTGGCTTCCCATTGAAGTCCGGGCCCAATTCAAGGTGTTGGTGATGACCTATAAAGCCCTAAACGGCTTGGGTCCTGGTTACCTGAAGGAGCGCTTACATCCATATACGCCCGGCCGCCCCTTGAGATCTGTGGGAGAGGCCCTTCTCCGGGAACCCTCCGTGAAAGAAATCAGGAGGGTGGGTACTCGGAGGAGGGCTTTCTCTGCGGTGGCGCCTAAGTTATGGAACGCGCTCCCCAGAGAGGTCCGCCTGGCGCCGTCATTACTGGTTTTTCGGCGCCAGGCGAAGACCTTTTTATTTAAGTGACATTTTAACTGTTAATATTACTGGATTTTATCTGGCCAGGGCGGCTTATTTTATATTGTATTTTTGTATTTTTAATTTGATGTTTATATTTCTTGTAATTTAATATTATAATTATTTTTAATTTATTGTTGTAAGCCGCCCTGAGGCTTTGGCGAATGGGGCGGCATAAAAATGTTTTAATAAATAAATAAATAAATAAATAAATAAATAAATAAAAAACTACTCCAATTAGGAATTCTGCATGGTTTTACTGAAGGGGAGAATTTGTGGATCATCTTGAAGGTTTCTAACTTGGACAACTCAAGTTATTCTTATTTCCATCCAAACCTGGACAGCCAGTTCTTATTTCGGGGTCAGTGGTGTATTCTGCTTCTGTGTAGGAGTTCTTTTTCTGAGCAGCTTCAACTTCTATTTTCACAAGAGGTGAGTGGGAAACATTGTAGGCAAAGCGATGTTTAATATTCTCATTAACCTGAAGGCAGAATTCTTTTTATCACCTACTTGACTTTCCTGTCTGCTGTCCTTCCTTTCCTGTCTGCTGGCACCCACAGACTCCATGTGAAGTAAATTGAGCAAATCCCAAGCACAAATATTTAACATCAGACGGCAGCTTCTTGGAGCCAGTTCTTAAAATCCACTTGCAAGTGAATCTATCACACATGTTCCACCGACTGTGGTAAAGTAGTTTAGGATGAGACTGTCATTTTTCACTGAAAACATATTAGGGTTTTGTGGGTTGTAATTCACTGTTATGTTGTTGCTCCCTATTTGCTAGGGCACCTATTTGGCATCCCGTATTTTATTTTATTTTATTTTATTTTATTTTATGAATGCAAGCGCCTTAGTTGCATGTGTGAACAATACCAAAGTTTTCAAGGAGTAGATGGACTCTTGGAACACAGCTGAAAAGGTATTCTGCAATTCAGGGTAACTGGACCACAGAAAGTTTGGCCTGTGGATTAGTTATAGATTTGTCATTTTTCACTCCACAGCTTGCCACATCAAGCAGGAATCCACCTAAAAGCATAATCTGGCCTACCAAGCTGAAGTTGTTTTGGCTCATACACAACACTCCCTGATGTGTTAGACCAGCTTTCCCCAAACCGGTGGTCTTCATATATTTTGGTCTTCAGCTCCCATTAGTACCAGCTAGCATGGTCGATGGCCAGAAATGCTGCAACATGGCTGCAAAAATGCTTTAGCTGAAAACGTCTCAAGGGCAACAGATTGGCAAAAGCCCTGTAAACCAATGGCCATCAAGACCTATATTATTTTGACTGACAGTACTATGTTTTTATCAGTAGTAGGTCTCTAGCATTTTCCCTTGCCCTTCTTTTAGTGTTTTCAGGTTCTCCCATTAACTTCAAACTTCTGAGTTCAGAGTCCCAACTATGGGCCAGCAACCCAAATCTCCAGACAGGAGTAGCTTGACTGGCACTGAGACATACTGGGCAGGTTTGCACAACATGACAAGCCATGATGGTTTCTCTCACTGGATAGTCTATCAAGTCATCCAAACCATGTTGTGGTATTTCAGCATGGTACTTTTGGTTTTCAGAAACTATGCTAAGAAACAATGCTATGTTCTACTATGTCCATGCTTCACTGTGGTTTCTTCAGTCATCTGAACCCAGCATCATGGTTTCCACTATCCTGGTATGCAGCTAACACCGGGTCCTCTGGAAAAAGCAGCAGCCGTAGGAGCCACTCCAGCCATCAAGTGTAAGGAGTGTATTTCAGGTGTGGTGGCTGATGTGATATGGGTCAACGGCAGGAGGACTGATTGAGAAGAGTAGGATCCATGCTAGAA